AAGACCCTGGCTCAAAAAACGAAAGAAAGAAAGAAAGAAAGAAAGAAAGAAAGAAAGAAAGAAAGAAAGAAAGAAAGAAAGAAAGAAAGAAAGAAAGGCAGGCAGGCAGGCAGGCAGGGGATATAGCTCAGGGTAAAGGCTCAGAGCTTCATCTCTGGTACTGGGGTAGAGAGGGATGGAACAGCATCTAAATGAAATAGTATAGCAGGTTTCTCTATTGGCTAGATTTCCCACAGTAAACAGGAAAGAAAGTAGCAAACAGGAATATCACTTTGACTTCAGTTATGACTTTTGTCCCAAGAGGCCAAGTATTTCAACCTAAGTGCAGCCCTACCCACTCACTTCAGTAAGATGGAGCAGGAGTAATTTAATTTCCTAATGACAAAAACCGAGGAGCACAGGATTTAAGTGGCCAGTCCAGAAATAGTTATAAGCAAAACTAAGAAAAGAAGTCTCTAGTACCTGGCCAACAGCTGAGTTTTGGGGCCTAGGGTGAGGGAAGACCTTACTGCTATAAGCAGTTGGATCTACAGCTCTATTTTTTTTTTTTTGGGGGGGGGGAGGTCAGCTAGGGGTATGACTTGGAATTAAATTCAAAAATAATCTCTATGCTGATAAAATATCTTTTGGTTTAATCATGGAGAAGGAAGTATATGAACCTGGTTTTGTTGAGACTCTCAATTCCTAGCAGCAGGATTGTGGCCAGGAGATGGAAGTCAGGGCACAGATCCTGAGTAGTTAACCTAAAGTAAACTACACGTCAGGGCTTATTCAGTTGATAAACAAATGGCTGGAATAATTAACTTAGGTAAACTGACTATCAAGGTGTAATGTAATAAAAAAGATAGAGGAAAGGTTCCTAAGCAAGCTACAAGGACAGCCTTTGAGGGTTGGAATACAAACAAGACAGCCTACTTTCTGGACTTGAAAGGCCTGGCAATAACCAGCAGCATCCCTGCATCCTGTCCAGTTCACCTGCACCAAATGCTATATAAAAGCCTCTGGACTTAAGCATTGTCTTTTCACCTTGAGGAAATCCCCTCCCTGACACCTGGGTAGGAGTGTTCTTCTTACTTATCCTAATTAACCAACATGTACTCAGTCACTCCCCACTGCTTTGCTGTTTCATTGGCCTCAATATTCTTAACTGGGTCTGACAGCCTAACAGGGTACCCAGCAGAAAAATCTCCACATGTCTACTGTCCCCACCTGTACTCTTCAGTAAGGCAAGGTAAAACTCTCAGTGATCTCTTGCTATCCTCTGTCCCACAGTGATCTGAGAGGACACTGTTAAGAATCTCTTAGGCCTCCATTAAGAGCTAAGCTACAGGTCTGGACTTTACTTTCTCAGCTAGTAAGATAATCCCCTCTTCACATATGTCTTGCATAGATCCTCTAAGGTGGCCTATATACAGGCTTTCTTTGGATTGAGAGATGGTCTTAAGTTCTGCAGGATATGCTTTAGAGATTCAGCCTCGTTACAAAAGGACAAAGCTTTAAGCCTGGTTTTGTAATAAGAATATCCTATTTAATAATCTATGGCTCTTTTCTGTAATAAAGTATATTCTATACAAAAATGAAGGTTTAAATATATTGTACTTTGTTTTAAAAAAGGCCATGGTTTATAACTAATAGTATCGACAATTATTGTGCTATAATGTTATGTTTTGCTTTTGATTTCAAACTTTCCCTATAAAAATGTGATACTATCTAAAATTATTTAATAAAAATTTGACTTCTAAGACAATCATAGTTGCTCTCATGTCAATACTGGTGCAACTGACTTCCTAGGTGCTCAACAACTAAGGCTCTGAGACCAAAGCTAATTATATAACTGCACTAAAAAATAACCAATACTTTGGTTCTGACCCTCCAAGGTCAGCAAGACCCAGGACATGAGGGGATCTTTCTATAGGAGCCTACAACTTTGTTGAGTCACCTAATGTCTTGAACAAGGAGACTGTTGGACCCCAGAGGACAAAAGTTAACCAGTATACCTCATGCTAGAAAGAGGGTCGCTAAAGAAAAATATGTTCCCAGGCTTCTGAGGAGAGCCATGTGGTCTAACACAGACTGGGACTCATCCTGGCAGGTAACACTGGCTGAGGAGCTAAGAAGCTCTGTACATCATTCCAAAACTAACTACTGGAGAATATTAACTGACCTTTCTATATACATCAGAAAGTAATTCTAATTCAGGTTTCACTTAAATTTGACCTTGAACAACAGCAAGAAAAATATAACTGAAGTATATAAAATACTAATAATAATTTAGGATAAGTATGCAAAGGGTTCCAAGTCCTACATACTGGGTCCTGCTGACAGTGTCCAGCTACAACCATAACTTGTCAATATTATGGCTCAAATAAGACTAAGAAGCCACACTGTTGTAGGCAGCTGAATTAGATAGAAATTTTATAGGCAGTCAGACAGGGCCAGGCCCTCAAAGAGACAATATGGAAGACAAGGTAACTCTTAACTTTGGAAGAGAGAGATCCTCTCTGCTGTGGGCCAGAACTCAAGACAAAAGTCAACAAATGCAGCCACATACTTCCCTGGGGATGGACATCAGAGATTGATTTTCTAAATAGGTATCAATTACCTTGAAAGAGCCCAAATGAGTCACTAACCCAACCCCCAACAGAAAGAGACTGTCCAGTATTCATGCCCACTTTTGTTATGTGACTTGCTTCCCCATTTGGTACTGGATTTAATCAACTTTGCCTGTGCAATGGTGCTTGTAATCTCATTGGCTGACCATAGTTTTGTTCCATCTCTTGGCCACCTAAGCGAGTTCCCTTGTTTTCCACCTCCTTAGACCTGCCTCACCATATGTTTTTACACTATAAAAGTCCCTGGAAGAGACAGTTTCCTGGGGACAACCCACTCAGGCCCCCTTCTGTCCTCCTCTCCGACAGCTTTCTTTCCCCCAATATATATATTCTACCTTTAACCTCTATTTGTTCCTAAAATTCACTCTTTGGTTTTAGAGAACACAAACTCAAACTAGGCACCTTTCAGGTCAAAAGTTTCATTTTTACCCCTATATCAACAATAGTAGCTCTAAAAGTTCAATAGAAATCTTAGCTAAGATTGTTCTTCAAAAACACAGCATCTATAGTCTTACGGATAAAAAGTTACATGCTTATATAACGTATTATCTTTAAATAACATACACAAAGAAAAAAACATTGCTTTTTTTTTTTGCAGAACCAGGGAATGAACTCAGGCCCTTGAACTTGCCAGGGAAGCGCTTATTCTACTGAGCCATCTCCCCAACCCCTAGAAAAAAATGTTGTTTTTATGCCAATCAGTATGTTATAACGAAGAGACCTAACATTAAAAGCCAACCAACTGTGCTTCAAACACCCACCAGTGTCTAAGTCATTGAGGTCATGGTCAGGGATCTAAAATCAGATATTCTGATTACTCTCCCTACCAGGACCAATAATAATGTGTCTTGTAGCCTTGACACTTAGATCCTATTTTCTCAACTGCTTAATCAAATTTGTTTTTACTCCTGGACAGCTTTAAAGCTGCAGATTGTGATGCAAATAGACGCTCCAACAAATACTCTTCTGGGCTTGTCCTCAGGACCTTTAGATAGGACTCATAGGAGTGAGCTCCATCACTCCCAACAATGCCCCCTCTCAGAAGTAGCTTGCAAGACCCTTCACTGCCCACTGCACCCAGACAGCAGTCAGTGTTACTACTGTAAAGGGGGAATAAAGCCAGGAGAAAGGAGAATCTAGGCAGAAAGAGCACTGCTTCTGAAGTGGAAGGTGGGGGTAGTTGCTAACTTAGCATACCAAAACAGACTATCAGGACATATTGATTTTTTTTAATTATATATTTTATTTATTTTTTTATTGAGAAATATGAATGAGACAGTTTCACAGCTGATTAATAGGACAGTTTTGAAAAATCAATATATTGTACATTGTTATCTTCTTAGTGGTTATCAATAGCATAAGAAGCAGACAGGATATTCTGTCCAAACACTGTTAGTACACCTCTTTCTTCTCATTGAATTAAGCGAAAGTAGCTGTAAACCTATCCTATGTTGTATATATAAATACAAAATGATTGTTTCTTTGTATCCTTTTTTTTTTTTTTTGTCCTGTCAGAAGTGAATATTCTATTGGCATCTAAATACTATAGGTGTTTGAATTCAACTAAACAATTTAACACTGTCTACCAGTATATAATATTAGTGGGTTATCCTCAGAAATTATTGACTTGAGCCTTTTACAGCTCATCGTATTAATATGGCTTTACTTTATATCCCTTGTTTTTATACTTTTCTGCTGGACGGTTAAGACCAAGATATAGCAAGACCTATATAACAAGAAATGTAACTTTTGTATCTGATTAGGTCAGCCAAGTACTCTCGGGATTTATACAGGACCTACTGAAATGCAAGCAACAAAGTCTAACAAACACTAACCAAATGAGAGCTTGAAAGAAATAAAACACAAAAGTCTGCTTTCCAAACATTAAAGGCCTACCTACAACTAGAAACATCTCAGCTTTCTGTCACGAATCCCTAAAAACTATACAAAGACCCACGAGACCTAAACATCAAGGATGTCCACTTTACAGAGAACCCACCTCCAACTATCAGAAAGCTTCACTTTTATTCTTTTGAATGCATATGCATTTGGCCATTCCCTAGCACTTGATGTTGCTGTTTTGTGGACTTCAATCTTAGTTGCCCCAAAACAAGGAAATAAGAACTAGATTACAGTACCTTCATCTTACACTAGAAATACTAGTGTATCACCTAACTAAAAAATGAGAAGGAATAAATCAAGTAAGTTATGTCCATAGAAGTACATAAACTGGGAAAGGCAAAACAAATGACTTGTCACAGCAACTGTTAAAGACTGTAGGGCCAGGGAGATAGCTCAGTGGTATAAGCACCTGCCTGGCAAGTGCAAGGTCCTGAGTTCAATCCCTGGTACCAAAAAATAAATAAATAAATAAATAAAAAAAATTCTAGTAAGAGTAAACCATTTGAATGTTACACAGAATTACAAAAGAAACATTTATATTGACATCAAATGTATGTATCAGTTAGTAGTAGTTTAAAAAATTAACATGCAAAAAAAAAGAGAGGAGGGGTACTTGTAAAATTTTCTCTAACCAAAAGTAGAACATAATGTACATTATATATAAAATAAGCCACAAAAATGCAATAACATAAGGGGAAAAAAATTCTCCGAAATGCGTTTCAATGTCCCTAAATATTTTCCTTTTATACTTACCTGTAAAAATAAGTAACTGGGCAGGACATTGTCAAACGAGGGGCTCAGATACACAGGTTCTGTCATTCTTACACCTACACCTCTGAAACACAGAAACTCAACATTAATCCACATCAATTACATAGCACATGTATCTATAACATACCCACAACTGCATGTCAAACATAAAATCATCCACCTTTTAAAGATTTTTATCCACATCTACATGCTCCGAACAGTCTCATGAATCCATTTGTAAATGTTTACCTCAAGGAGAAGACGTTAGTACTAAAAAGGATAAAGTATCAAAACTTTCACTTAGGCACAAGAGTTTCCTTGGAATTCTGGCTAAATTAAAGAGCAAAGAAGGGGCAGGGGAGATGGCTCAGTGGAATAAGTGCTTCCCTGGCAAGCACAAGGGCATGAGTTCAATCCCTGGTTCCGCCCCCCCCCTAAAAAAAAGAGCAAAGAGTATCTGATTATAGACTTGTTTAATCTTCCCAAGAACCCATCTATGGCCACTGTTAATACCTTTCCAGTCACAACATTTCATGAGTGTTGAGTTTACAAAGTACTATACTAGGTACTTGTTATGAAAATCGAAAAAATACCTACGCTCCAGCTGAGGCTAAGCAATGACAAGCACAGTACTACTTTCCTCTCATGTTTTTAGAGACAGACTACCTTTGCTGACACAACTGGAAGATGATCTTTTTCACCTCTGTCCCACTTTACAAGTGGCAGTGTTGCTGATGAAAACAGAAAAAGCCAGCCCACAGGTATGCAGCGATTACATGCACTGCAATCTGAAAGAGGTAACCTGAGACCATCAAGGGTCTCAAGAGAAGGCATGCATATACTGTAAGAGAAGACTAACAGTTTTTTTTTTTTTTTTTTTTTTTTTTTTCTTTCTTTTTTGCCTGCTTTTTACTACCAACAAAGAAAAAAGCCAGCCCACAGGTATGCAGCGATTACATGCACTGCAATCTGAAAGAGGTAACCTGAGACCATCAAGGGTCTCAAGAGAAGGCATGCATATACTGTAAGAGAAGACTAACAGTTTTTTTTTTTTTTTTTCCTTCTAAAGGTGCCTGCTTTTTACTACCAACAAAGAAAATATTCAGTCTGGTATCAGAGAAATTCCCACAAGCCAAGCCACATGGGAAGCTGATGCAGGATTGCAAGTTTGAGCTCAGCCTGGGAAACTTCTGAGATTTTTGTCTCAATAAGATGAAAAGGGACTGGGGATACAGTTCTGTGGTAAAGCACAGGCCTAGAAGGTATGGGGCCCTGGTTTGACTCCCCAGTACTGCTAAGGAAAAAGAGAGTAGAGGGAAGAGAGGAGGGAGGAGAGGGAAGGAGAGGGAAAGGGAGGGAAAAGATTACTCAGCATAGTAACTGCAGCCAGGATATCAAGATGAGAAAATGAAAAGTATACCATTAATAATGACTAATGAGGCAGTCTAAGTATCAGTTCCTTATAGACCCAGAGATAAACACAGCCAGTATTTGCATAATCTTTACAGTCCTAAAGCCTTCTAAGAGAAACAAAGTAAGTTCTTTACTATTCATAAAATACTACTGGCACTGGGCTGGGTCTAAGGGTCCCCGAGGCTGAAATAAGGAACTTAACCACCCATCCTTTTAAATAATTTTGTGGATTTCTTGACTCCTGTCATGAAAAAAAGAATTTTCAGGACTCACTGTAGAGGCATGAGGTTTTATTAAGAGATGGGAATAGGATGCTTTCAAGAATGGAGTGTGGGTGCTCAGTGAAATGAGGCAGTTACCAGCAGAGTAGGGCACCTTTAAAGGCTGTCTTCAAGACTCATCCAGGATGTGTATGCCATCCCCTGGGTTGCAGTGTCAGCCATCTACTGTACATGGCTTTGAAGTGGAGATACGATGCCTGAAGTTCAGAAATACTGCTTTTGGGCTAAAGAAAATGGCGATTTGCAGAAGTGACTAGTGACTGGGGAATTTATGTGTCACTAAAAAGGGGTTTTAGAAATTTAACACTAAATTAGGATGGAAGGAGTGGTGTCACAAGCTAGAGGGGCCACCAGAAGCAGAAAAAGAGCTTGTCCCTGTGGCTACATTTTCTTTTTTAATACCAAGAATCAAACTCAGACCTTGCACTTCCCAGGCAGGCACTTGTGCCCTCTGGATCAACCTCCCAGTCTCCTTTCTACCCAGCTTTATTCTTCTATCCACACCTCATTGCCATCCAGACCCAATGTTCTCTTTCTTTAGAAGAATTAATTTCAATCATATAGAAAAACTGCTGTAGCAAGGAAAGTGATCACGGCTATAGTACAGTTCTGGGCAGCTAGCCTGACTATCCTCAGTACAGTTTTACCAGCTGCTAACCTTGGAGTAACAGTGGTGTCTACAGCACTCCTAAAACAAGTAAGAGACGAGCCCAGTTTGTCTATGGATTTATTCAGAGCCGTAAGTGGCTACAGATGATTGAATCAGAAGTAACTATATCTTAATTTGACTTGAACAAACCCAAACACTCTGCTTTGACCATAATTACTTACACAAGGGCTAGCTTTCTGGTTAAAAAAAATTGTTTATATTAAAATCATAAATTTTTCTAATCAAAATGTTAGAAATATCTAAATGAGTCATTTCATCCATGTTCTATCAAGATAAGCTTCAATGTTCATCAAAGGTACAAAAATTTTCAAATCATTAAAATATAAAAGGAGAAAATCTTTTTTTTTTTTTTTTTTTGCATTTTAGGGAAGGATCTACAGTGTGTTCTGGGTCACACTACTAGATCAGATCATAGTGATCTACCTGTTTATAGCCTCCCAAGAGCTAAGATTACAGGTGTGTGCCACCACACCAAGCCTGGGTATAGAACCCCCAGCCCTTGCACCTGCTTGAAGGTGCTTTAATCCACTGAGCTATTTGGCTGGCCATAAAAACATTTAATAATTGTGTTACTAGTTTTAACTGGGCTTTTTAATCTCATCACTCACCCTTTTTATTTTTTATTTGGTGGTACCAGGGATCAAACTCAGGACCCTGAGCTTGCCAGGCAAGCACATATTCCACCGAGCTATCTCTCTGGCCCACACTATTTTTAATAGGATTTTTTTCCAAAAATTATGGAACTACATATAAAATATTTTTCCAATTGAATTTATATTAAAGGTTTATTCATATAATGCAGTCAGATACATTTTTACATTGTTTTTAGTCTTCTTGATCCATAGAAAGTATGTTCATTTCTCCTGCAACACCCAATGACATACTTCAGCTCAGGTAGTCCACTGAAGATTTCTTTGCGGCTTACTGCAGAAATCCCATTTCCAAGAAATACTTTTGTTCCATCAAACTCTCTGGATCCTTTCTTACATTTCCCTTTAATATCAGAGTACACAGAAACAATGTCTCCAGCTTTCATAACTAGAGAAAGAAGAAAATCGTATGATATTAATCTGCCCTTTGGTAAAAGAATGGTAGTCTCTTAGGTAGAATGGAAATCTCTAAGAAAGCGGTAGTTCAAACTTGCTCCTTAGATGTCTATAAGCAACCCTTCCAAAACAAAACAAATTACAGAAAATTTATGTACATGTCTAATTTGTTAATCCTTATCAGATAAAGTCGTTATGGGCTACATTAAATGCAAAGCTTGGAAAATACCTAACAAAAGTAAAACTGAAAAGCATCTCAGTTAAAATATACTAAACTTCCCATTTGCTAGTACACATGAATTTAGAGAACCCTGCACCTTACAGTACGTACAGCCTGAAGCCGATACAATTCCTGGCACAAAGACATGGGCTCCTCGTAACACTGCATTGCCACACTGGGCTCCCACAACGGCTTCACACTGCTGCTTCCTTATGTTCTTTCTAGGAATGTTAAGGAGAGAGAAATTATGTAACAGAGCAACATTCCTTCCACTGCCTAAAAACTTTTTCAAAGTTTCAATATAAATTTTATATAAATAGCATTAGTCTAATTTTCATGAATGAAGAGAAAGCTGAAAAGAGAGAAATAAACAAGAATAGTTATAAAAGGGAAAGAAGGAGAAAGAAAGGGCACTTGAAAGACAAAGACTTCTAAAGAGGTCCATCTGGTGGAAGGCAGGAGAATGGCATAGGAAATAGGTTACTCATTTCACAATCCTTTTTTGAATAACAGGAGAAAAATGGTCTCCCGCTGCTTTCAAAAACAATAAAATACACAAGAACTTAAAACATTTAAGTGATAAACTGTCACATGATATATGTTGAATAGGCTGTGCTCTGTTTTCTTTCAAGATCTCCAGTTATCAAATCTCAAACTTAACTTCATTGTATGCAGTACCTTCCTGGGCCCACCCACCTACACTGTTGCTTGTCTTGTTTGTATTTTTAGGTACTAGGGACTGGGGTGTCTTGTTTGTATTTTTAGGTACTAGGGACGGGGGCCTTAGCACTAAACTACACCCACAGCAGTTTTTATAATTTTTATTTATTTTTTAAATGACAATTTGTTGGGGTTTTTGTTTTTTGGGTTTTTTTTTTTTTTTTTTTTTTTTCTGAACCGGGGAATGAACTCAGGCCCTTGTGCTTGCCAGGCAAGCGCTTATTCTACTGAGTTATCTCCCCGGCCCCTAGCTTTTTATTTTGTGATAGGATCTTGCTGTGTTGCCCAAGTGGGACTTGATCTTGTGATCTTCCTGCCTCACCTTCCCTCAGGGCTGGGATTATAAGCATACACCTACTTTGAGAGGCACAATCCTCCAAGCTCTAAAACAGGTCACTGCCTCTTCTCCCCCTACACTCTACGCCTCTGCAACTTGTGATTTCAATAATTACTGAAAATGTTAAGTCATGGAGTAGTTGTAATGGTGCACACCTCTGAGCTACTCTGAAGGATGGGGCAGGAGGGTTGCTTGAGCCTACAAGTTTGAGCACCATATAAAAAACAAAAAGGCAAGGGCCGGGGAGATGGCTCAGTGGAATAAGCGCTTCCCTGGCAAGTGCCAGAGCCTGAGTTCAATTCCTGGTTCTGGAAAAAAAAAAAAAAAAACAAAAAACAAAGGCAGGGCCAGTGAAATAGCTCAGCAGATTAAAGTGCCTAGGTAAAGTGCCTAGGTAAAGGGGCCGGGGATTCAGTCCTGGGTCCTGCTGTGCCAGCCCCACCCCAGGGGCACACTGACACAGCAATTGAGACTGGGCTTGGTGGCGGGCGCCTGTAATTCCAGCTTTTGGGAGGCTGTAAATATGCAGATCACTACAAGTCCAATGTAGTAGTGAGACCTTGAACACCTTGTAGACCCTTCCCTAAAACAAAAATTAGAAAAAGACAAAGTCTATGTTTAGTCTTCTAAACTCTATATAAACTATTTCTAACTATCTGCAGGTAGCTACTTATTGCTGTCCCAAGCAGTTACTCAGTATGTCTGAAACAGTATTTTTCTCTCTCAAATCCTTGAAATAACTCCAAAATTTTTTGCTGTATGCTTCAAATTCTTTTACTTAAAAAAATTTAATCTTTTATTTATTTGGTACAGAGGGTCTTGCTATGCAACTCAGACTGGTAGTGATCCTCCTGCCTCAGCTTACCTGGCAGATGGATCAAACCCAGGTCCTTGTGCTTGCCAGGAAGGTGCTTAGACTGCCAAGCTATCTCCCTAGCCCTGCTTCCAATTCTTAATAAGGTGTCATTATATACTGAGTAAGTAAATTTTAAGTCTCTTCCATCCAGTGGTGTCTTCCAAAATTCATAGGTTGGAAACTTAATCCCCAATGCCAAGAAACTTGGGAGATGTTTAGGTGAGGAAAGACCTTGCCCTCACAATGAATTAATGCTGATACGGAAAGGTGTGCCCTCTCTTGCTCTTACACCCTCCACCACTGGAGGACATGGCAAGACAGCTGTCACCAAGTGCCTACATTTTGATCTTGGGCTTCTCTATCACTAAAACGGGGGGAAATTTCTTCTTTATAAATTACTCAGTCTTGGGTGTACTGCTCCAGCAGCAAGAAAACAGTGAAACAGCATAATCTTTAGCCCCTAATCCCCAAACCTAAACACTAAGTCATCTGACCACACTTCCCTCACTGACAGTCTCCTAGGCCCATTCCTGGCAAGATGTACCTCACCTCTTTCACTGATTACTGAATAAACTCCCTGCCTGCTACCTTGATTGGTTTCAGATCTTCCTTTCATATCTGAAGTATCAATATACGGATTGCTTTACTTTCAGACTCGTAGTTCTAATATTTGTTTTTCATCAATTCTGGAAAATACTCATCGTTTTATTATTGTTTTCCCCATTATTTCTATTTGGTATATCTGTGACTCATTAGAAATATGAAGAAACCTTTCTATTTTCCACTACTTGATTTCACTTTATTTCTTTTTAAAAATTTTTTTTGTTACAATGTTCCTTTATTTTGAAGAGTAAAAACAAAAGCAATAAAAACAAAAAGAAAAACAGAAACTGGGTAACATACAACAATACATATATTATTGATTTTTGAAACAAGAATAGCTGATTAATAATGAATGCTATCTATTTTTACCCTCAAATTCCTTGCTCAGATAAAGATATAGTTATGTAAGATGAGCCATATGATTGAATATTACTGCATGCTTTCAAGAAACCTTAATTTTTCAACATGTATTTAGAACTGGGTCTATGGGGTCTACAGGGTCTCACTATATAGATCAGACTCCTAGTGGTTCTCCTGTTCTCAGCCTCCCGAGCTTGCAGACGCGCATCACCAGATCCAGTCTCAATCGCTGTCTCAGCACACCCTGGAGGCAGGGCCAGCATGGCACGCTGAGGATGCAGCCCGGCTGCTGCGCTCTGCCTAAGCAGGCAGATATCTTTTGATATCTTTTTCTTTTATTACCTTTTCCTAAAAAATTTACTTTAAAGAAAATATAGTAATAATGAGTTAGGATAACTATATAGTTGCATTCTCTTAATGAATAGAATGATTTGTTCTAATGGTGTTTGTAAATAGGATCACAAGTCTGCATCTTGTACAGCAATTAACCACTAAGAAGAATATATGCAGTGTATTATTTGCTGACACTTTACTTCCGATTTGTTTGAAACTGTCTCATTGCTATCTGTTTATCAATAAAACTTTGAAAAAAAAAAAGAATAAGCAAACAAAAAAAAGAAAGTATAGTAATAATGAATATGACATTAGAAATGGTACACATTTAGTAGACCATACTGTAAGGTATTTCAAGCATAGTTTTTTCTCTGAATTCTAAATAATTTCTTGAGATATCAACAAGTAAAACAACTCGATCATTTGGGTCTAAGGTTAACCTGTGGAATGTTTTTAATTTTAATGGCATTTTTACTTCCATAAATTCCCTATCAGTTCTACCTTTTTACCTCTCAGGTCTTTCAGAATTTGCTTTTAATCATTTAAGATAACTGAGTTATGGCTACAACCAGAGAGATCTATTTGTTAATGTTTTGGGAAATACCTACCTCTGTAACTTATTTATCATGTTGATTCTCACTCATGGTTTGATTCCTCTTAATGAATAAGAAAGTCTGTAGCTTGGACTCAAAGGGTACCACTTGAAGCCAACCATGGTGAGAAATGTCTGTACTCGGGAATCTGAGGCAGGTAGATTTCAAGTTCAAGGGCAGCCTAGGTTATACATTCTGTCTCCAAAAAATAAGAAAGAAGGAAGATGGAACAAGACAGAGAAAAGAAAAGAGGAAACAGAAAGCAGAAGGAAAAGGGGAAGGGGAAAAAGAAAGGAGGAAAAAGTAGTTTACTACTCTAGGATGCTTCTGCTTGGTTTGTGCAAAGTACCTAAAAAATTGTCATGGGACTAAATTTTTATGTCAGTTTCCTAGATTGTAAGTTCCAAGACAATTTGAGTAGTAAGAGTTTGGAATTAACACCTTTATGATGTACAGAAGCCCAATTCTGAATTCTTAGAATTATTTTTCTTCAACCTATACCCTAATAAGAGATTCACTTCTTCACTACACCCTTATACTGTTAGATACCTCAATCCTTCTAACCAACCAGCAACTCCTTTCTAACACCTCCAGCTGTCTAGTATCAATTCACATGTATATTACTGCTTTTTGGTTATTCACTCCTAATGCCAAGAAATATTTCACTTACATTTTATTTATTTATTTATTTATTTATTTATTTATTTATTTTGGCGGAACCGGGGATTGAACTCAGGCTCTTGTGCTTGCCAGAGAAGCGCTTAGTCCACTAAGCCATCTCCCTGGTCCTTCACTTATTCCTAATTTGTCTCTAGATTTATAATTCATCTTCTGTGAAAAAGTTGAGGTTTTGATCATATTATGATGTAACAAACCATAACCCACTATACAAGTCATGTCTGTGGACATACACTTACAACAAACATTTCCTGAAACAAAACTTTTTTTTTTTTTTTTTTAATCTTTTAGAAAGGGTTTTGTTATACAATTAATTCAGGCTGGCCTTGAACCTGCTTTGTAGCCCAAAATAGCTGAAACAATACTTTCTCTATGTGAACTGTAGTAACATAAGATATATGACTTTTTAATAAAATGATCATTAAAGACCATTAAGTTGATTTTACAACCCATTAATAACAACCCACTATTACTAATATACATCTAAAAATACAGATCTAATTATCATAGCAATAAAACTATATGACTCGTACAGTATAAAAGAGAAGTATTTCTTAGTTTTAAAAATATCCTTCGTTTTCCTTTATATTTCACAGCCTTCTTCCAACTTCCAGTTTAAACTTTCACTCATAATTCTGAAAAACAATTCAGTAGTTGAATCTGATCACTTTTTTATTTTACCATTTGTCTCTTAAGACTTTTGCATCTTAGCCAGGAATATTACTCAGGCCTGGGAGGTGCAAGATCCTGAGTTCAATTCCTGGTACCAGAAAAAAAAGACACTTGTATCTTATGCTAGCCCAAATTAAAAAAAAAAAAAAAAGTTTATGATCTTTAAAGAAAGTTAGGAGAGAAAAGAACGAACCTGAGATTGTCCAACTGTGCAGAAAAGAGTTAACATAACAAGCTTTGCCAGGCATAATGGCACTTATCTGTAATCCCAGCACTTGGGAGGTTGAGGCAGGAGCATCACCGTGAGTTCAAGACCAGACTGAACTACATAGTGAGTTCAAGGCCAACCTAAAACTACATTAGAAAACCCTGCCTCAAGAAACTAAACAATCAAACAAAAAACAAGCCTAATCTGCCACCCTTTGAAAGGTTTATTCATAAAGTTATCTCTTGACTGGTGTTTGGGAATTTAGATGACAGGAGGGTCCCCACTATAGTCTTCATTTAATGACTTACCTGCTTAATGACTGAGTTATGAATGTTTTCTTTGGTACAGTTCTGTACATACTATCTATAGAGCCTCAAGTTTTTGGTACAGTACACTTTATACAGTACATTATTTGCTCATTATACTCTATAATATGGTACTATAGTTTTATGTTATACATTACAATGCTGCATGTAAGAGTTATACAAATAAAAGCAATATCATCAAGTTGGAGTTTTCTTCGACTATTTCTTTGCTCTAAATATTGTAATGCACACACTACATACAATTCTTCATTTAGTAACCAATTCATTAAATGATCTTAATGGAAAGAATTAAGGAATGGACCTTGGTCCTTAAGAGAAGAAATGTCTGTAGTTCATGGGGCCCACGCTGTTTTTTTGTTTGTCTGTAGTTTTTTTTTGTTTGTTTGTTTGTTTTTGTTTTTTTCTGTCTTTTTGAGATAGGGTTTTGCTAAACAGTTCAGGCTGGCCTTGGGCTCACTTTGCAGCCCAGGCTGGTCTCGAACTTGTCAAGATCTTCCTGCCCAGCCTCCCAAGTGCTGAGTTCACAGGCATGCGCCATCACACCTGGCCTAAATTGTTAATAAAACAATATAAGCAATTTAGTGTGAATAAGAAACTTTCTTCCCCCAGATGCTCAGTTTTTATCAAGTGTGCTCTCCAGCACAGAAGCTATGCTACCAGGAGACAGCTAACAAAAGTACTCTGAGAAAACACGTCTTATCAGCTGTGAAGGCACTCGCTTTACCCAAGCCATTCTGGACAGGTCCTGAGCAAACTGCAAAGCAAGGTGCAAATACTTAAATAGTGAGTGATAAGCAGCAAGGATATGTTCAACATTCAACACGGACCCTATGTAGAAGCAGTAAAAAAATTAAGACGAAGGCAGATAAAAAAATGTACAAAACAGAAAAATTTCAAATGTATCTTTGTATTTTCAAAGAAACTAAGAGAATTCTATAAGTGGAGTAAGAACAAAAACATAAAACCAGTGAATGATTAGAGTTCAGAAAATAAAGGATAACAGAAAGAGCTAGAGGCAGAGAGAGACATTAATTGCTAACACTTACTATCTACAATGTGCCCCTCCTTCACTATTCTAAACTCACAAAAGTCCTAAAATTAGAAAGTATTTTTAAACACCATTTTAGAGATAAAGACAAGCACAGAGAGTACTACCTTTTGTTAGGTAGTACTGACAAAAGAGCCACTTTTGAATAAGTCCATGACTCAAACAAGCACAGACTTTAACCCGTATGTTCACACTGTACTCATTTATCTGGGTACGTACTTGTGCAAGTCCACAAATAGGCATTTCAACAATTTAGGCAACGATGAAAGTGAGGAAAAACAATGTGTATCATTACAGGGTTAAAAATTAAAACTGAGCTCAATGATAAGACACACTATTTATGCAGCTAAAATGAAGTGCTATATAAATCATGAAAAACTATGAGCAACAAGCAAGATTAACATGAAATATTCTACAGTGAACAGAGAAGAAATTACGAACATTACTGGATTTTTAAATTATTTCTGAAAATGTGTACAAGCGAATGCACCTGTTCATTCAAGTGTACAGGTAAAAACACAAAGCCTGAGAATTCACATTCAATGCTTAGAGAAGCAGAACTGGGAAATGTGATAGGAAATACAATTTCATGTTTATGTAAAATTTGGATTTTGGAGAAAATTTCTTTATTTTATAAAGAAGAAAAAACTATTCACTAAAAAACAAATACTGGATAAAACTAAAGAATAGAGATACTTGACAGAATGAGAAGTGGCCAAATTTTAAACCTACTCAACTACAACTGTGCAACCTCATCAGGTATGGAACCTCAAGCAGCTGGAACTGTGATCTACTCTAGGAGTTAGCTGGTTCAAAATTTAGAAATGACAGAAATCAGAGTATTGGTTTCCTGGTACGGTAGAAGAGTACAAGAGATTTTTTTTTTTTTTTTTTTTGTTTGAACCAGGAAGCTGGCTCA